ATAGGTGGAGAGGAGACAGACAGGTCAAAGAGGCGGGGATGGAGCCAGTAAAGGTCAGTGTAGGTGGGGAGGTAGGGAGGAGATAGGTCAGTCCAGGGAGGACGGACAGGTCAAGGAGGCGGGATGAGGTTAGTAGGTAGGAGATGGGGGTGGGGCTTGAGGTGGGAGGAGGGGATAGGTGGGAGGAAGGACAGGTTAGGGAGGCGGGGACGAGCTGAGTTGGTTTTGGGATGCGGTAGGGGGAGGGGAGATTTTGAAGCTTGTGACATCCACATTGATACCATTGGGCTGCAGGGTTCCCAAGCGGAATATGTGTTGCTGTTCCTGCAACCTTTGGGTGGCATCGTTGTGGCACTGCAGGAGGCCCAGGACGGACATATCTTCTGCGGAATGGGAGGGGGAGTTGAAATGGTTCGCAACTGGGAGGTGCAGTTGTTTAGTGTGAACCGAGCATAGGTGTTCTGTAAAGTGGTCCCCAAGCCTCCGCTTGGTGTCCCCGATATAGAGGAGGCCACAACAGGAACAGCTGAACGCCATCGACACCGCTGCTGATGCCACCGCCTCCATTTCTGAGGCCAACACCATAGACAATGAGGATGCACCTACCGTCACTGCTGCTGCCGCCTCCTACCCCTCTCTGCCCACTGCCGACAATGCTCCGTCCACTACCGATGCCGATGCAACTCCGCCCACTGCCGACGCCAATGTCGCTCCGCCCACCGCCTCCACAGCCAGCAGCTCCAGAGAAGACAGTAGCACCCAGCCCTGCCGAGTCTTCACCATCCCCCCAGACCTCCCCCTTACTGAGGACGAACGGTCAGTCCTCAGTAAAGGGCTCACCTTTGCCCCATCCACCCACACATCAACGAATACCAGTCACGTTTGGACATAGAGCAGTTTTTCCGCCGCCTCTGCCTCCGCGCTTACTTCTTCAACCGTGAACCTAACCTTCCATCTACTGACCCCTTCTCCCACCTCCAACACACCCCCTCCTCCTGGACACCACCCCAAGGCCTCCTACCCTCCCTCGACCTCTTCATCTCCAACTGCTGTCGAGACATCAATCGCCTCAACCTCTCCACCCCTCTCACCCACTCTAACCTCTCCCCGCAGAACGTGCAGCCCTCCGCTCCAATCCCAACCTCACCATAAAGCCCGCAGACAAGGGAGGCGCAGTTGTAGTATGGCACACTGACCTCTACATTGCCGAGGCCAGGCGCCAACTCTCCAACACCTTCTCCTACTGTCCCCTTAATCATGACCCCACCCCCGACCACCAAACCATCATCTCCCAAACCATCCACAACCTCATCACTTCAGGTGACCTCCCACCCACAGCCTCCAACCTCATTGTTCCCCAACCTCGCACCGCCCGCTTCTATCTCCTTCCCAAAATCCACAAACCTGACTGCTCTGGTTGACCAATTGTCTCCGCCTTCTCCTGCCCCACCGAACTTGTCTCCACCTATCTCGACTCCATTTTCTCCCTCTTGGTCCAGGAACTCCCTACCTACGTCCGTGACACCACCCACGCCCTCCACCTCCTCCAGAACTTCCAATTCCCCGGTCCCCAACACCTCATCTTTACCATGGACGTCCAGTCCCTATAGACCTGCATTCCCCATACAGATGGCCTAAAGGCCCTCCGCTTCTTCCTGTCCCACAGGCACGACCAGTCCCCCTCCACTGACACCCTCATCCGCTTAGCCGAACTCATCCTCACCCTCAACAACTTTTCTTTCAATTCCTCCCACTTCCTACAGACAAAGGGGGTGGCCATGAGTACCAGCATGGGCCCAAGCTATGCCCGCCTCTTTGTAGGCTACGTGGAACAATCCCTCTTCCGTACCTAGACTGGCCCTAAACCCCACCTCTTCCTCTGTTACATTGATGACTGTATTGGCGCCTCCTCGTGATCCCACGAGGAGCTCGAACAGTTCATCCACTTCACCAACACCTTCCACCCCAACCTTAAGTTCACCTGGACCATCTCTAATACCTCTCTCTCCCTCCTGGACCTCTCTGGCAACCACCTAGAAACCGATATCCATTTCAAGCCCACCGACTCCCACAGCTACCTAGAATACACCTCCTCCCACCCACCTTCCTGTAAAAATGCCATCCCCTACTCCCAACTCTTTCGCCTCTGCCGCATCTGCTCCCAGGATGAGGCATTCCACTCCCGTTCATCTCAGATGTCCTCGTTCTTCAAGGACCGCAACTTCCCCCGCTCAGTGGTCAAGAACGCCCTCGACCGTGTCTCCTGCACTTCCCGCAACTCATCCCTCACACCCCCTCCCCGCAATAACAACCAAACCAAAATCCCCCTCGTCCTCACGTACCACCCCACCAACCTCCGGATCCAACGCATCATCCTCCGACACTTCCGCCATCTGCAATCCGACCCCACCACCAAAGACATTTTTCCCTCCCCACCCTTATCTGCTTTCCGGAGGGACCACTCTCTCCGTGACTCTCCTGTCCGCTCCACACTCCCCTCCAGCCCCACCACACCTGGCACTTTTCCCTGCCACCGCAGGAAGTGCTACACCTGCTCCTACACCTCCCCCCTCACCCCCATCCCAGGCCCCAAGAAGACTTTCCACCTCAAGCAGATGTTCACCTGCACATCTGCTAATGTGGTATACTGCATCTGCTGTTCCCGTTGTGGCCTCCTCTACCTCGGAGAAACCAAGCGGAGGCTTGGGGACCGCTTTGCAGAACACCTACGCTCGGTTTGCACTAAACAACGAGTGAAATTGGAAAATAAATGTACCAGGTTATACCAATATTTTTGAAAGGCAGGCAGAATGCCAAAGAGGGAGGGGTAATAGCCCTGATAGTAAAGAGTGATATAAAGACAATAAGCAAGGAAGAATCTGGCCTCAGGAGACCATTAATTTCTGGAAATGAGGAATAGCAAGGGGTCAATAATAAAATTGGGAGTAGTGTAGAAAGTCCCCTGACAATAGTTATACTGTTGAGCAGAGAATTTAGCAAGAAATTATTGCAGCTTATAGGAAAGGCAATGTAATAATTATGGAACATTTAAATCTTCCTGTAGACTGGAACAATTAAAATGTCAGGTGTGGTGTGCCAGTCAAAACATTGATACTTATAATGAGGGCTCAAGGAGCCAGCAGTAATATATTAGCATGGATAGAGGATTGTTCAACAAACCGAAAGCAGAAAGTGGACATAAATGGAGCTTTTCAAGTTTACAAATAGTAACTAATGGAGCACAGGGATCAGTGATAGTGCCTCAGCTATTTGCAGTCTATGACAATTTTAGATTAGATAGAGAAATCAGGAGTAATGTCTCTAGGTTTACTGACCACACACAATGCTGCAAGGAAGATGCAACGAGATTGCAAGAAAATACTGAAGGTCAGGTGAGGGGGCAACACAGGGGGCAGATAGATTATAAAGTTGGCAAATGCTAAGTTTGGATGTAGGAGTAAAAACACAGAATATTCTTCAAAAGGTGTGAACCTTGTAAAAGTTGATTTTGGAGAGATATGTAGATACAGAAAACAATTAGGAAAGTAAATGGCATGTTAGCCTTTATTATAAGGGGACTGGAGTACAGGAATAAAGAAGTCTTGCTGCAATTGTACAGGAAAATGATGTGCAGTTCTGCTCCCCACATTTAAGGAAGGATATTTTTGCACTGGAGGTGGTACAGTGAAAGTTCACTAGATTGGTCCCAGGGTTATCCTATGATCAGAGGCTGAGTCCATAAAACCGTAAGACATAGCAGCAGATGTAGACCATTCCATCCATTGAGTCTACTCTGTCATTCAATGAGACCATGACTGATCTGATAATCCTTAACTCCAGTTTCCTACCTTTTGTCTATAACCCTTGATTCCCTCACTGATTAAAACTCTGTACATCTCAGTTTTGAATATCAGTTGGTGGCAACATTCTGAAAGCTTGTGATTTCAAATAAATCTGTTGGACTATAACCTGATGCCGTCTGATTTCTGACATTATTAGGTGAAGGCATTAATTGACCAGTAGTTAATTAGGTCAATAAGATTGCGAGCTCAAAAACATACGTCAGAAGTGTAAATGATGCTACATCCCCTGCACCTGCACTCCCGTCCCCTGGCAGCCTCCCCTAACACTGACCCTTTGCCTAATTCAAATCTTTCCCCCCACATTCTCCTCCTCCTCCCCCGGCACCCACGCTATCCCTCTCCTGACACTCTCCTCCCCTGGCACTCATACGCCGCCCTCTATCGGCATCCACACTCTCCCTACCCCGGCACTCCCCTCCCCCCCCCCCAGCACCCATACTCCCCCTCCTCTGATATGCCCACTCCCCTCCCTTGGAGGCTACACTCCTTCTGCCCAGCACCCCCGACACCTCCTCTCCTCCAAACACACGCCCTCTCCCTGACAACAAGCCTCCCACCTGCCCCAACAACCTATCCCCACATTCTCAGCAGTGATGCCAACCAATACTGCCAATACTGATCCTCTGCCCCAAACAGTCTCCACTCACCTCAAACTCAGTCTCCCCTCCTCACACTCTCTGCACCCCTCATATACGTACTCTGACCCCTCCACACCCTCTGCCCCCAACATACACACACACTGCCTAGCCCCCCTACACACTTTATAATACCCCACCCACTCTCTGATCACCCCCACATTCTCTGCACCACCCCACACACAATCCCTGTGCACCCCATAAACATTGTCCACCAGATGCTCTGCAATACCCCGACACTCTCCACTATCTGGCCAAACACACACCTGTGCTCTTCCAAACTCTCCCCCACAACACTCCGCATCCCCCACCAGACCTTGCCCTCAGATTCTCTGCACTCCCATACCCTCCACAAAATCTCCACATATACTCTGCTCTCCCAACACTTTCTCTGCCCCTGCACCACACACACTTTGCCCATGTCCCACCCGACACATTTTCTACAACCACACCCCTGCAACACACACAAACACAAACACACACAATTTACATAGACACAGACCTGCTATCTGGCTCCTGGCTGATTTGCTGAAATGCACTGCTCAGGTTGTGTTCTGCAAGTGTCTCCTCAGGCACCTCCTGGAGATCTTCCTCACGCTCCAGTGAAACTCGGATATTTTCCAGCTCAATCCTCTCAGGAGTACTGCGTATTCGCTTTGCCTGGCATGGTTCTGCCAGGGCATCAGTAAACGCCACTGGAACAAGAAGAAAAACCTCTTTATAACGAACCAGGTGAAGAGGTGAAAAAGATCACACATGGCTAAATATCTGCTGACATTAAAAGTGCCTCTCTTGGATTAACAGAATTAGGAAGGCGAACAGGAGGAGGGAAGACAGAGTGTCTCAGCTGAATGAGAGAACACACCACAGCACAGAGACCAAAAATCTCAGTCTTGAATATAGTCAATGATGGAGCATCCATAGCTATCTGAAAGACCCATGATCCTGAGTCTTGTGCTCGAGATTCCTCAGTGTGGGGAAACACTTTTCAGTGTCGAACCTGTCAATCCCCTTCTGAATCTAAATTGCTTCATTGAGATCACCTCTCATAAACTCCACAGTATAACAAGCCACTTTACTCAGCTTCTCGTCAACTGTATGACTGCAGCAAGCCTTCTCTATTCCTGTAATCTAATTCCCCATGCAATAAAGGCCAACATGACAGTTACCTTCTGAATTGTTTGCTGTACTTACGTGCTAACTTGAAAATAGCCCATTTTTGCCCATTGTCTACTTGCTGTTCTCTAGCTGCTCCTATGTCTGTGATTAAGCCCAACTCCATGGGCATTCCTGTCTATTAACCTTTTACTTAAATGTAGCTCCCTTTGGGCGCCCTTGGGTACCTTAGTTGCTGCAAAAGTGCTAATAAGTATTGATTTCTTTTTCATAACTGCATGTTGACTTTTGTTGCATATCCTTATGCTCGTATGCAGGTACAGCAGGGAATTAAGGAGTGCAAATAGAATTCTGGCATTTATTGCTAAATGATTATAATATCAAAGTAGAGATGTGCTTTTGCAACTGTACAAAGGATTAGTGAGACCACTTCTGGAGTACTGTGTACAGTTCTGGTCCCCTTACTTGAGGAAGGATATAACTATGTTGGAGGCAGTTCGGAGAAGTTTCACTAGATTAATTCCGGAGGTGAAAGGTTTATTATATGAAGAGTGGTTTAACAGTTCAGGTTTATACTTTTTAGAGTTTAGAAGAATGAGAAGCAATCTATTTGGGGTATATAAGATCCTTAAGGGGGCATGTAGAAGTAAAGCAGATATTTCCTCTTGTGGGGCAAGGAGATGTCATAGTTTTAGGATAAGTGGTGGCAGATTTAAAAAAAAGATGGGGAGGAATTATTTCTCTCAAAGGGTTGTGAATCTGTGGAATTCATTACCTCGGAGTATGGTGAATGCTGTGACACTGGGTAAATTAAAGGAGGAGATAGGAAGGTTTTTAATTAGTAACAGGTTGAAGGGTCATGTGGAGCAGGTAGGAAAATGGAATTGAGGCCAAGATGAGATCAGCTATGATTGTATTAATTGGTGGAGCAGGTTTGAGGAGCTGAATTATCTGCATGCCATGAATCATCTTATGTGCCACATTTTCTCAGGGAATTGTTAAGCCTTCTTTCAGAATTCTTTCAGCTTCTTGCACTTTCCCAATGATCAATGTCAGGCAAACGGGATTGGAGCTACCTGCTTGGACATTCTGATTTGGAAAAGTTGAGATAGAAATACAAACCTTTCTTTTCCCTTTCTCTCATTTACTCCCCATCTCTCTCTCCCTGTATTTTCCTTTCTTTGTATTGTTCCTCCTCTTATCAAAGCCCTCACTGGGTTGTGGGATTTCCCCGGTGCCTTTTGAAGAGTTTGGAATCTCTCACACAACCTCGTGAAAACTCCATTAAAGTCTGGCAACCTGGACACCGAGAAAGAGCTTTCACACAGATACTCCACGTTGGCAAAAGGCCAGGCTTCGCATTCAGGTAAGTCTGACATTACAAATACTGAGCAATGTAGGACAGTGCTCTTCCTGCAGGAGACCCTTCTAAAAGCAGAAACAATTAAAGAAATCATTTGAAATAATACAAGTAATCATGCAGCCAATGAAGTCCAAGCCTCCAGGATGTTAACTCTCCTGATCAAACTTATCATTGCTACATACCAATAGCTAAACCATCTCCCTGCAGCAAAGAAGCAAATGCATCCATCTCTTGTTCAGCAAGCAATCAGAACATCTTGGATTAATCAGATAACTTTCATCTTTTTTGATCACTCTCGCTCCCCTCCTCCCTCCTTCCCCAAATATTCTCTCTACTTCTCTCTCTTCTAGCATTCTTTCTCTGCCTCTTCTCCAATCACTCTCTTGTGCCATCACCCTTACCTGATCTCCTTCACTATTGTTTTTTTTTCTCCTTCTGTCTTCTCCAATCACTCTCTCTCTTTTCTCCTAACATACTCTCTCTGTTCCTTCCACAAGACCAGTTCGTAAACTTGCAGTCATAAGAACAAAAGAGAAGTACACACAGGAACAGGCCCTTCAGCCCTCCAAGCCTGTGCTGATCATCATGCCCTGACTAAAATAAAAAACAAATCTTCTGCCCTTATTTGGTCCATATCCCTCAAATCCCTCCATATTCATGTAACCATCCAGGTACCTTTCAAATGTTGCCAGTCTGTTTGCTTCTGGTAATGCGTTCCAGGCTCCTACCACTCTGTGTGAAAATCTTCCCTCACACATCTCCCTTAAACTTTCCCCCTCTTGCCTTGAACCTGTTCCCCATGTAATTGAAACTTCAACCCTGGGAAAAAGCCTCTTACTATCCACCCTATCTATGCCTCATAATTTTGTAAACCTCTATCAGGTCTCCTCTCAGCCACTATCTTCCCAGTGAAAACAATCCCAGTCTTTTTATCCTTTCCTCATAACCTATGCCTTCGAGACCAGGCAACATCCTGGTGAATCTTCTCTGCGCTCTCTCCAAAGCTTCCAAGTCCTTCTGGTAATGTGGTGATCAAAACTGCACACAACGCTCCTAATGCGGCCTAACAAGGGTTTTATACAGCTGCAATATAGTTTTCCAACTCTTGTACTCCATGCCCTGGCCAATGAAGGCAAGCATGCCATATGCTTTCTTAACCACCTTGGCCACCTGTGTTGCCACTTTTAGGGAACTGTAGACCTGCATGCCCAGATCCATTTGTATGTTAAAGGTTCTGCCATTTACAGTATAATTCAGACCTAAATTTGATCCTCCAAAATGCATCACTTTGCATTTGTCTGGATTAAATTCCATCGGTCATTTCTGAGGCCAAGTCACCAATCTGTCTATATCCTGTTGTATCCTTTCACAATTGTCGGCACCACCAGCAACTCCAAAAATTTTCGTGTCATCAACAAACTTACTAATCAGACCACCCACATTTTCCTCCAGATTATTTATATATATAAAAAGCAACAGAGGACCTAAGACTGATCCCTGTGGAACACCACTTGTTACCCGTATCCATTCTGAAAAACACCCTTCCACCGCTACCCTCTGACTTCTATGACTGAGCCAGTTTTGTATCCATCTAGCCTGCCCATCCTGAATCCCATGTGATTTTAGTATCAATCTGCCATGTGGGACTTTAACAAATGCCTCATTAAAGTTCATATAAACTATATCCACAGCCCTTCCCTAATTAATTATCTTAGTCACCTCTTCAAAAAATTCAATCAGGTTGGTGAGGCAAGACCTTCTCCTTCCAGAACCATGCTGCCTGTCACTAACTAGTCCATTTTCTTCCAAATGTGCACATATCTTGTCCCTCAGTATCTTCTCCAAGAGCTTTCCCACCACAGATGTCAGACTCACTGGCCTATGATTTCCTGGATTGTCCCTGCTTCCTTTCTTAAACAAGGGAACAACATTGGCTAATTGCCAGTCCTTTGGAACTTCAACTGTGGTCAAAGAGGATGTGAAGGTATCTTCTAATGCCCAGGCTATTTCTTCCCTTGCCTCTTGCAGTAACCTGGGAAGTAATAGCTGGGGCATTAGCTTTTAACGTGGTCAGTATTTACAAATCATTCTATAATTCTTCTTTATTTACATAGTCATTGCTCCATTACATTTGTTTTGTTCTGACCTGGCTGTTGCTTCCAAGGCATTGTCATTTTTCCCAGTCTTTGTTCTTCTCTAAGCAAATGTGTTTGGCTTCATCTATGCTGCCTCCACAACGTGCTGATAGGAGTGAGCATGATACATAGATCGTTGGTATCAGCTTCCAGACTCAGATTGATTCTGACCTGTTACACATGTACTCAATAGATTGTGAATAGGGCATCAATCTGCTGCTATCTTACTGGATTTCAATCAGTCACAATGTCAATGTACCCATCAGTCACTGGATCTGTGATCACCACTGATCACCATGTCACCGTACCCATTAGTCACTATGTTACTGGATCACCACCAGTCATCATGTTACTGATCGGTCACTAGATCATCACCAGGTCACTGGATAACTGTCATCATGCCACTAGATCACCGATCACTGGATCGCTGGTCACTGTATCAGTCATCATGGATCATCAACAGTCACAGTTTCACCAGATCACAAAATCATATCAGTGGATCACCATCCATTTCCATATCACATGATCATCATGAAGTCAGTGCATTGCTCTATCCCCAGTCATTGACGTGTCACTGAACTGTCACTGTTTGTTGCGTCATGGATTTCTATTGGTCAACATCTCACTGGATCCCTTTACTTATGTTTCTGTAACTCTGCATTGCCAGTCACATTGTCATTAGATCACTGACAGTCAACACTTCATTTAATTTCTAACAAAGGTTATCTCGCAGGATACTCACTGATGTGTATATGTGACTGGATGTCCATTGGTCACTGCGCCACTGGATCCCCATCAGTCACCACATTGCTGGATCCCCATTTGCCACCCTCCCATTGGATCACAATCAGTTACTATTTAACTGGATTCATTTCAGTGCCTGCAACACAACTGAATCCTCATCCATCCCTATGTCACTGCACCTCAATGGATGCCCAATTGATTGGATCGCGATCAGTTATTGTGATACTGGATCACAAATCACCAAGTTACTAGACAAGTGTTGATCACCGCATTAATGAATCCCCATCAGTTACCAGGTTAGTTTATCACAATTGTGCTACTAGATTCAAAATCTCTGATTACTGGACCCTCCTCTGTCACCAAGACATTGGATCTTGACCTGCCACATTATACTATGAGTGCAATTACTCACTGCTTTAATGTTAGTGTCTATGGATTAACCAGAAATGAGCTGCCTCAGCTCCATCCTCACAGGGACTAATGGTTGATTTGTGGTGTTGCTGTGAAAATAATCACGAACTCATTACTGTTGCAAATCTTCCAACCTGAGTCAGAATCCAGAGTTCAGGAAACTACAGGCCATTCAGTCTAACCTCTGGTGGGTAAACTACTGGAAGTAATTCTGAGGGATAGAATTAATCTGCATTTGGAGAGGCAGAGATTAATCAAGACAGTCAGCATGGTTTTGTTAAGGGGAAGCCATGTCTGAGCAAATCGATTGAATGTTTCGAAGAGGTAACCAGGTGAGCAGATGATGGCAATGCTTTTGATATACTTGGACTTCAGCAAGACTTTTGATAAGATCCCACATGGGAGACTGATAGCAAAAGTGAAAACCCATGGGATTTAAGGAAATCTGGCTAATTAGATCCACAATTGGCTGAATATCAGGAAGCAGACAGTGGTGGTAGAGGGGAATGTTTTACCGACAGGAGGTTTGTGTCCAGTGGGGTCCCACAGGGTTCGCTGGGACACTTGCTGTTTGTGGTTGATATAAATGATTTAGACTGAATGTAGGAGGGTTGATCAGCAAGTTTGCAGATGATACAAAAATTGGTGGGCTGGTAAATAGTGAGGACAATAGCCTTAGATTACAACAGGATAACGATGTGCTGGTCAGGTGGGCTGATCAATGGCAAATGGAATTCAATCTGGATAAATGGAGGTGATACTCTTGGGCAGGACAAACAAGGCAAGGCAATGCAGGATGATGATGGCAAGCTGGAACTCACTGCCTCTAAAGGTGGTAGAGACAGAATCCTTGATGACATCTAAGATATAATTAGATGTATACTTGTAATGCCAAGGTTACGAGCCAAGTGCTAGAAAATGGAATTAGGTTAGGTGGTTCATAGAATCCCTATAGTGCAGATAGAGGCCATTTGGCCCATCGAATCAGCACTAACTCTTCAAGAAGCATCCAGCCCAGACTTCCCACACCTAGCCCTCCACTCCTTACCTGTAACCCCACATTTTCCATGGCTAACCACCTTAGCCTGCACATCCTGAACACTATGGGTAAAATTAACATGGCCAGTCCACCTAACCTGCGCATCTTTGGACTGTCAGAGGAAACTGGAGCACGCGGCAGAAATCCACGCAGACACCGGGAGAACATGCAAATTCTATACAGAGAGTTGCCCAAGGCTGGAATCAAAATTAATTGTTTTTGACTGGGTAAGACTCAATGGGTTGAAGGGCCTTTTACAGAGCTGAAGACCATGATGACTTTGAGAATCCCTACTTTCATCCCAGATCAGACAAAATTATACACACATACTTACCTGTAATATCTTTTGGGCCATGTCTTTCGATAAAAAGTCCTGCAGACCTCACCGATCTCAGGAAACCCACAGGGAAGCCGTGTTCACTTTTTATAACACTAGCTGTGGTTTTCAAGAAAGCAAACACCATTGAAATGTCCCACAGTGTCTTTGACAAGCTATAGGGAGAAGGTGTGGTTAGTGGATGTGGGGGTGGGTAAGTGGTGAAGTGGCAGGCAGGTGGGTGAGTGAGAGGGCAGAGTGACGAGGTGGATGGGTGAGGGAGTAGGAATGATGAGGTGGACCAGGGGATAGGGTGAAGAAGTAGGTGGGGGATTAGGTGATGAGATGAGTGAGGGATTAGGGTAATGAGATGGGTGAGGGCATAAGTTGATGAGGGTGGGTGAGGGAGTAGGGTGATGAGATGGGTGAGGGAGTAGGGTGAAGAGATGGGTGAGGGAGGGGTAGGACGACAACCTGGATGGGTGAGGGGGTAGAATGATGACCTGGGTGGGTAAGGGGGTAACGTGATGAAGTGGGTGAGTGAGTTTGGATTGGCGCCAGTTGGATACTGGGTCAGTAGGAGGTGTGGGGTAATGGGCAGTTGGTGGGTTAGAGGGGAAGCATGGGTCAGGGGTCGTGGCTACAGTAGTTGGCATGGGTCAGTGGGTAGTCAGATTGGTCAGAATCAGGAACTGGGTGGTCTAACATTCCCTGGCTAATGATCTGTCAGTGAGTCGGGAAATTCAGATATCTCTGACAGTCTGGAATTTTATGAAGATTTCTGTTTGCCTGGCACTCACCCACTGGATGTTTCAACCTCCTGGACAATTCCCACAGTGTTAATACCTCAGAAATTCCGAGGGATCGCAATGTACATCTTGGGAAATGGGGAGGGGTGGGGTATATCCAATCTATGACTATCCAGACACTGGAAGATCTGGACCAGTTAACTAATGAGACTGGCAACATTGCTGGTGGAACCTTGCTGAAAGTTGGTGCTAACTGAAACATCCAGGCAGAGCCAAAGTGGAGGTAGCAGATTTATTTGTGTAGCTATCACAGTTGAAGAGCAAAGACAATGCTCAAAGTCAATTTTCTGTTTATCAGAGAAGCACAATTTGGGTGAATCTGGGGAAAGATTGAGAGTCAGGGAACTGCGGAGTGAGGGGCTATGAGGGGCTCAGTCCTGATGGCGTTTATAGCAGCAATGAGGAAGAGAGGGACTGAAAGCCAGCATCATCCCCAGCAGCAAGCCATTGTCTCAGTTTACAGCTTATGGGATCTTATGTTCTGGACTGCTGATCTCCTCACACAATCCCTCACACAGCACCAGGGGCAGTAGCAGACAGAGAGCTGGAATATTAGGTTCTCCTGCTGATTCACTTCTTAGCTTTCTGAATCTGTTGAGCTGCCTGCCTCGTAAATCCATCTGTTCATTTCAATGCAAAGCCTAGCAATGCTGCCCTTCACTGTGCAAGGAATCCAATCGTTGTCAAGCAGAGCACAACATCTACCTGCAGCTCCATCAGTATATTGCATCTTGGAGTCCGGTACTTCAACCGGGTTCATGGTTGGCAGCGGGGGAGGAGAAATCTTCTCCTATGCAAAACAAAAAGCAAATAGAAGAAGAGGTGAGAAAAGGGAGTATTCAACATGGACTATAAATTGCACCATACAGAAAAGACTGACTGTACACAGCAACAAAGGGGTCAAATCAACTGTACCCAGTAGTACACAGGATAGGCCAATTGTACCCAGCAGTACAGGGGACAGACCGACTGCACACGGCAGTACAGGGGACAGACCAACTGTACATAGCAGTACAGGGGATACACTGACTGTACTCAATGGCACAGGGGACAGACCGACTGTACACAGTATCACAGAGAACTGACCAACTGTACACAGCAGCATATGGAAATCACTGATTCATCCACAACAGGACAGGGAACCCACTGACTGCCTTCAATGACAAAAGATAGAAAACAATCACTCAGAACTAGAGATCCAAGTGGCTAATGAGAATGAGGAGTTGAAGGAAATTAGTAAGAAGCTTATACTGGTGAAATTAGTGGGGTTACATGTTGATAAATCTCCAGGATCTGATGGTCTAAATCCCACAGTGCTGAAGGAGATAGCTGCAGAGATAGTTGATGCATTGGTGATTATTTTCTAAATTTCTATAGATTCTGGAATGATTCCTACTGATTACAAGGTGACAAATGACAGTCCACTATTTTAGAAGGGAGCGAGACGAGAAAGAAATTGACCTCCAAGGCTATTAGCCTTACATCAGTAGTAGGGAAACTGCTGGAATCTATTATAAAGGATTGGATAAATAGACACTTGGGTATCAATGATCTGACTGGACACAGTCAGCATGAACTTGCAAATGTAAAATCATTTATGACAAATTTGTTTGAGATTTTCGAAGACTAATGAAATTGATAAATGAGAGGCAATGGATGTAGCTTAGGATACGGTGGCTCAGTGGTTAGCACTGCTGCCCCACAGCGCCAGGGGCCCGGACTCAACCCTCAGGCAACTGTCTGTGTGGAGTTTGCTCATTCTCCCCGTGTCTGCATGGGCTTCCTTTGGGTGGTCCAGTTTCCTCCCACAGTCCAAAGATGTGCAGGCTTAGGTGGATTGACCGTGCTAAATTGCCCATAGTGTTCATGGATGTGTAGATTAGGTAGGTTATAGGAGGATCAATCTGGGTGGGATGGTCTGAGGGTTGGTGAGGACTTGTTGGGCCGAAGGGCCTGCTTCCATACTGTAGGGATTCTAAAAAAAATTTCTAAAAAAGAATTCTAAAGATCCTGTGCAGGAGGCTGGTTAGAAAAATAAAAGCACTTGGGAATGGATGTGATGTACTGGCATGGATTAATGATTGTCTATTTTCTGTCTCTTAGCCAATCAGAATAAATGTGTGTTTCTCACATTGGCAGTCTGTGACTAGTGAGACATCACAAGGGTTAGTTCTTGGGCCCCCAGTTGTTCACAATATATATCAATGATTTGGAACTGGAGACCAAGGGCCCTCTTGTGGTGCATGGTAGTGTCCCTACCCCCAGACTAAGAAAGGGTTCAATTCCCACCTGTGCCAGAGGTATGTAATAACATGTCCTAAAAACTGGAACCGGAGACCAAATGTAATATTTCCAAATTTGCAGACAATACAAAGCTAAGCAGGAATGAGTGCTGTGAGGAAAGATGGCAACTTCAGGAGGATTTGAACAGTTTTAGTAATTGGGCAAGAACACGGCAGATGGAATATAAAGTGGTAAATGTGAGGTTATCCACTTTGACAGAAGAAACGGATGTGCAGAGGTTGGAAAGTACGTCCTTATTGATTAGTCACTGAAGGCTGACATGTAGGTTCAGCAAGAAGATTTGCGTACACAAGTAGTGAAGTCTTGCTTCAATTGTACAGAAGCTTGGTTAGACTGCACTGGGAGTACTGTGCAGTTTTGGTCTCCTTATCCAAGGAAGAATATTATTGTCACAGTGTTTTGAGGAAGGGTCACTGGACTCAAAACATTAACTCTGATTTCTCTTCACAGATGCTGCCGGACCAGCTGAGCTTTTCCAGCAACTTCTGTTTTTGTTTCTGATTTACAGCATCTGCAGTTCTTTCGGTTTTTATTTAGGAAAGGCAACGCAATGACTACACAGATGGACAGTAAACACACAGACTGTTCACAGCAGAAGTGGAAACATTAACTATAAGCAATTGGAGAGACAACCTATTGACTATACAAAACAGGACAGTGAAGCCACTTAATTATATACAACAGTACTGTGGACATACTGACTATATAGAATAGGACAGGGATTCCACTGACTGTATATAACAACTTTGGGAAGATATTGAAAGCACTCAGGTACAGTGCTCACACCAGAGAAGAATCCCTTTCCCTATCACCTGGATAGGTTTAATTTAACTGTGACTTTAAGTCCCAGTCTGGAAATCTGAGGGCTTGTCCTGGAACTTTCAAACTCTGATGTTTAAACATTGTCAGCTTCAAATAACCTGTTCAGGGTCTTATTCAAAAAATTCTGGTCTGGAACTATTATGAACCACAGAATCATAGAATTTTACAGAACAGAAAGAGGCCATTTGACCCATTATGTCGCTCCCAAACAAGCTTCCCAACTAGTTCCAGTTTCCAGCCTTAATTCATTGCTTTCAAATATATATCCAGCTCTCTCTCAATACCTCTTATGGAATCTGTCCCTCAAAGTTGTACAATTGAGCCTATATTGACTCTCTATGTTTGTTCTACCAAAATGCATTACTTCACATTTCTCTGCATTGAAATTCATCTACCAGATGTCTGCCCATTTGGTCAACTTATCAACGTTCTTCTGCAGTTGCTCAGCATTATCTTCACAATTCACTATTCTCCCTAGCTTAGTATCATCTGCAAATTTAGACATTTAGCCCTCAACACCCATCTCCAAATTGTTTACATAAATCAGCTAAACAAAACTCCTTGCTCTAAGGTAACTTAATTTTACTATTGTCTCCCTTTCTCAAGAGTCCTGTTTTACTCATCCAAGGACTTTTGCAGACCTGCCCCAAACTGAAACTAAAATTATAAAAAAACCCTTTATTTTCAAATTCTGGGTATTTCCTCTAATATTAAAAAAGGACCAAATCCAGAAATTTCTCCCAGAAACCCTGATGCCCAATTAGTTACCTTGCTAGAATGTAATGTACACAAAAACTTATTCATTCTGAGAACTACCTCTCAAACAAGTTGCTTTAAAATAAATCACAATGGCTACAGAAATACCTACAAGTTAATCATTAAAGCCTTCATACACACAGAAAAACCTACATGGCATAAATACAAAATTTCAAAATCCAAATGTTAAAAAATTGATGTATTTTTATATATATCTATAGAAAGGAAGACTGTCTCAATGTTAGAAGCTCAGTGGATTAACCCACTCAACCCACACTCCTCCCTATACACCACCAAGCTCCCAATGTAGGATGATACCTGGGCTTGTGCTGGAGGAGTTGCTGATCTTTTCCTGGCTTCACGCCCTGCCAGTCGATAATGAGGCTTACAGTAGAACTTTCCTGCAAAATAACAGGTTTGGTTAAACAGCAGCAAGAATTCACCAGAGAGTGACCATGAACACTTACATGGCATCCAGTGACAGTCAAGTGGAGGAACCAGGAAATGCTCACTACACTGTAATGAACAAACATTCTCAACAGAGTAACCACAAAACCATCAAGTGAGAAGCATCACAAATGGTAGATTAACTAGGGAGGTTACCAGGTAAGACATTGATTGGGAAACATTTGTTGCACAGGAACAGGAAACACCAACTACATAAAGGGAGGAGTAATGAGGCGGGTTTAGGATGGGGGAGGGTTTGATGGGGTGAGTTTAGGATGGGGTGGTGTGATGAGGTGAGTTTAGCATAGGAGTGTGATGGGGTGGATTTAGAATGGGGGTGTTTGATGGGGTGGGTTTAGGATGGGGATTTGATAGGATGGGTTTAGGACAGGGATATGATGGGGTGGGTTTAGAATGGGGTGGTTTGATGGGGTGGGTTTAGAATGGGGGCTTGATGAGGTGGGTTTAGAATGGAAGGGTTAAACGGGGTGGGTTTAGGATGGGCGGGTTTTGATAGGGTGAATTTAGGATGGGAGTTTTGATGGGCAGGTTTTAGGAAGTGGCTTTAATGGGTGTGTTTAAGATGGGGGAATGATGGGGTTACGTTTGATACAGATGGAGTGAATTTGGGATGGTAATTTGGTTGTGGGGTACTGTTTGGATGGAAGGGTTTTGGTGGATGGAAGGGTTTTGGTGCATGGTGTGTACTTGGGTATGAGCTTACCATTCTCTGGATTATAGGCGTAGCTTGCAAGTCGGAGTGTTACACCACAGTACGCACATTTGAAGCAGCCACGGTGAAAGAACTTCCCTTCAGCACTCAGACGCTCCATCACATAAACTCGCTTGCCACAAAAATAGCAAACATCACTGCCTCCAAACTGTGAGGGGAACTCCTTCTTCTTCATTGATTGCTAAAAGGAAAGATTTTGTTACTAGAGTCATGCTCAGGAGGACCTCAAAGTCCTTTTCAATGACTGTCTCTGTACACCCTTGCTATTTAGATCGACCCCCTACTTTAGGCCTCCAGCCCTCCAACCATTGGAAGCACCTGTCACAAATTCTCACATTCGCCTCCTGTTTTCTAAATAAGCTTGATGGAGTTGATAGTTGACTCACCTCTGGGTGTGGGTTCAAGTCCCAATCCAGAGATTTGTGCCCAAAATCCAGGCTGAGGGGGTGCTGCACTGTCAGAGGTGCTGTCTTTCTCTTGAGACATGAACTGGACACCTGCCTGCCGTCTCAGAGGGTCACAAAAGACACATTCCAAAAATACAGGCATTCTGCCCATTGTCCTGCCTAATATTTATCCCTTAACCAATATCACAAAAACAATCATCATGACATTGCTGTTTATGAGAACTTGCTGTGTGTAAATTGGTTCCTGTTCCCTACATCACAATGATGACAACACTTTCAAAACGGCCTCATTGGGTATGAAGCACTTTGTGAAATTTTAAATGGTGCTGTTTAAATACAAGTCTCTCCTGGATAACACTACAAATTTGAAGACTCTCGTACTCTAGCCTTGTTAGGAAGCAGTAGCTACAGACCTGGGGCTGTTTGCAAAGGACAATTCCATTCTTAACAGCTTCCTGGCAACTGTTATAGCATATATGGGAGATTTGAGGGAACAGTTAAACCAATCATGACATTGATTTGCAACATTTGTGAAGAATTTAAATTAATTGCAAGGATAGAATTACAGATACCTCTACTTAACCTAACCTTGCCCCCTGTCCAATCCCCACATTAGACTCCATGCCCACTCCTTGACTACAATAACATTCAGAAGCAAAATCAAACGTTAATCTTGTGAATTCACAATGTGTAGCAATCATATTAGTGATCACAACTTGTGACTGTATTGACTGGTGTTTCTCTGAGTCAGTTCCAGTGCATGTACAGTATCCACCAGGTAAAACAGAACAATTATCTACACTATGAAACTGTACATTGTTGTGTCATATGGTGAGGGAGGAGAACTGGACAGGCTAGTTATGCAGAGTGTGGATGAGTTCCCTGGTTCAATGACTTCCATCCCAGGTTGCTAAAGAAAGTCCCAGTGGCAACAGTGGAAATGCTTCCTCTGAACTTGCCTAGCTACCAGGAAGGTGCTATTGAATTGGAGAATACAAAAAAAGGCACCAGGAGATTTTAATTAATGAAGGAGAGACAAAGCAAATTTGTAAAAGGCAGATAATGCTCGACTAATCTAATACTATTTTTAATGACATAACAGAGAAGCTTGATGAAGGGAACACTGATGATGAAACTGAGATGGATTTTAGGCAATGTTCAACATTACTACATAAAAGGGAATAAGACTGTCAGTGACAGCTTAGCTAAAAAATTGTTTGAAGGTCAGAAAACAACAAATAACAAGGAATGGTTATTTTTCAGGTTGAAGCACAGTATGCAGGAATTAAGCTGGGTGGTTCATTCCCAGAGTTAGCTCCTGTACTGCCCATGTGTATGTCCTAGCGCCAGCTCCTGAATGGTCCATGTGTGTGTCTTAGTACAGGAGCTGGCACTGTGTGTGTGTGTCCTGGTGCGTGTCTTAGTGCCAGCGCCTGGACTATCCATGTGCATGTCTTAGTGCCAGCGCCTGTATGGTCCGTGTGCATGTCTTAATGCCAGCGCCTGTATGGTCCGTGTGTGTGTCTTAGTGCCAGCACCTGTTTGTTACTGTGTGGACATCTTAGAGACAGCTCTTGTCCAGTGCGTGTGTAAGTTTTAATGCCAATTCCTGTACCGTCAATCTCAGTGTCAGCTCCTGTATGACCCATGTGTATCTCAGTGTCAACTCCTTTACAGCCGTTGTATATCTCAGTGTCATGTTCAAAAAATGTAAGGCTCACAGCAGGACATGATGATGGATACTTAAATGTAGAAGTTATGCCCTTTGTACTTGACAGGAAGTCTCTCAGAAAAGGGGAGTAGAAAGCAGAAGTATTTTGAAAACTGAGGAAGTGTTAGTCAATATCAGTAGGATAAATTGTGAGGCTTTATAACAGGCTGGATTAACTGAAGAGGGAGTCAAATAAACAGCACAATAGTGAGTGTGATACATGACTCCCACAATACAATAGTGAATGTGACACACAACACCGACAACACAACAGTGAGTGTGGTACACAACTCTCACAAACAGTAATGTGTAATACACCATGCCCACAGACACAGCGATGTGTAACACACCATTCCCACAGGCACACAGTAATGTGTAAAACACGAGTCCCACAGGCACACAGTAATTTGTTGATTTGTTTGCCGAGCTGGTAGGTTGGTTTGTATACTTAGTAACATTATCAGTGCACCACCGATGAAGCATTGTTGGTCTGTCCCGCTTCTTATTTATGTCGTCCGGTGTGATGTGGTGGGTGGCCTCATTTCCAGTTCTGCTTCATGGTGGTTGGAATATGGGGTCTATTTCCATATGTTTGTTGATGGAGTTCCAGGTTGAATGCCAGGCCTCTAGGAATTCTCGTGCATGTTTTTGGTTGGCTTGTCCTAGGATGGTTACGTTGTCCCAGTCGAATTGGTGGCTTTCTTTGTCCGAGTGTATGGAAACGAGTGATAGTCGGTTGTGTCTCTTGGTTGTTGTTCATGTACCCTGATGGCTAGTTTTCTCCCATAAAAACCCACAGCTACACCACAACAACTACTTACAAGAACAAAGGAGCCCATACCCACAACTAACAGACAAACGTTATATATAAAATCCCATGTAAGGACTGCCACAAATACTACATTGGACAGACCGAGAGACACACAGTAATGTGTCATACACTACTCCAACAGCCACACAGTAATGTGAAATACAACGGTCCTACAGATACACAGTAATATGTCATACATCACTCCCACAAACTCAGTAATGTGTAATACATCACTCCCACACACACAATTGGACCCACAGAGAGTAATGTGTGATACATCGGTACTATAGATGCACAGTAATGTGGAACACACAACTCACACAGACACACAGTGATGTGCAGTACACCAGTCCCACAAACATAGCAATGTGTAACACAACACTCCGACAAATATAGTAATGTGTAATACACTAGTCCATCAGACACAGTAAGGTGTACTACACCACTTCCACAGACACACTATAATGGGTAATAAACCACTCCCACAAAAACTCAGCAATGTGTAATACACCAGTCCCACAGACACAATCACGTAATATAGCAGCCGCATAGACACAGTAATGTGTAATACACAACTCCTACAATGACGGAGATAGTAAGAACTGCCAATGCTGGAGTCAGAGATAACACAGTGTGGAGCTGGAGTAACGCAGGCAGCATCAGAGGAGTAGGAAAGCTGACGTTTTGGGTTGGGACCCTTCTTCAGAAATGTTTTGAATAAGGGCCCCGACCCCCCAACTCAAAATGTCAGCTTTCTTGCTCCTCTGATGCTGCCTGGCCTGCTGTGTTCCTCCAGCTTCACACTATGCCATCTCCTACAATGACAGTCGTGTGTAGAATACCATTCCTATGCACACACAGTAATGTGTAGTACACCACCCCCACAGACACAGTATTGTGTAATACACCACTCCCACAAACACATAACAATGTGTATCAAACCAGTCACACAAACACAGTAATTTGTAGTACACCAGTCCCATAGAAACTCTAATGTGTAAAGCACCAGTCCCACAGACATACAGTAATGTGTAACACACCAGTCCCACAGACACAGTAATGTTATACGTCAGTCCCACAGACACCGTAATGTGTAGTACACCTGTCCCAAAGTCAAACAGCATGTGTAATACACCAGTCCCACAGACACACAGTCATGTCTAACACACTAGTCCCGTAAACACAGTAACGTGTAACACACCAGTCCCACACACACAGTAATGTGCTATACACCAGTCCCACAGACAAACAGGAATATGTAATACAGCAGTCTCACAGACACAATAACGTGAAACACACCATTTCCCCAAACACACTAATGTGTAATACATGATTCCCACAGACACAGTAATGAGTAATTCACCAATCCTACAGTCATACTAATGTGTAACACACCACACCCGCAGTGACAGTAATGTGTCGTACACCAAACCCACAGAGTAATGTGTAATACACCAGTTCTACTGACACAGTAATGTGTACTACGCCACCCCCATAGACACAGTGATGCGCAACACACCATTCCCACAAATACATAGATGTACAACACACTACTCCCACAACTACACTGTAATGTGTAACACACCAGATATAGTACTGCGTAATACACCACTCCCACACACACAGTAATGTGTAATATACCACTTCCACAGATACACAGTAATATGTAACACACCAGTGCCACAGGCACATAGTAATGTGTAATACACCACTTCGATAGACACAGTAATGTGTAATACACCACTTCGATAGACACAGTAATGTGTAATACAGCACTTCCACAAACACACAGTAATATGTAATACACCAGACACACAGTAATGTGTAATACACCAGTCCCATAGACACACTAATGTGCAATACACTACTCCCATAAACACACAACAATATGTGATACACCATTCCTACAGACACACAACGTGTAATACAATAGTCCCACAAACACAGTAATGTGCAATACACTAGTTCTACAAACATAATAGTGACTGTAATACATGAATCATGCTGCACAAACAGCACGACCAATAACAAATGCCATGAGGCATTCAGAAATCGTGCGCATAAGTGAGTTGAAAAAAGCACCAAGCTTTTTGCAGCTATTTCATGCTTTGATCAAGCCAGTGCCTGACTGAAAGTGTCGTGATCACATACCAGTGGAGGCCTGGTGAACATTTGATGGTTTAACATAAGCCTGAAGGTGAGAGTTTCATACACATGGGACAAAATGCACAACACCTCATCACAGAGACTAGAACACTGTTGACATTCAGGGCAGAATCAGATCTTACATAACAAAGAGCAAGAAATTATTACACAGAGGGACATGCATAGGCATGTCAGGATACAAGGGGCAGGAATAGATTATGAATATAATGTTGGGAGCAATGAAAGATTCAGGTACATTATCATGATGTGATGCTATAGCTAACATATCAGTAGAACTTAACAAGACATTGCTTCCTCATATATTGCAAAAGGTTTGTGCAAGGGTCCAGGTTCATTACTGCATTGGCTTCAGAGGATTTCCACAGGGGCCCCATCAAACATTCCCAGGACAAGGACCACTCGGGGCTAGATACAGAGTAAATCACCCTCTACTCTTTTACACTGAAAGTAAAGTTTCCTCCACTCTTCTAAACTGAAAATAAAGTTCCCTCTACTCTTAGCTCCCTCTACTCTTTTAAACTGTGACTAAAGCTCCCTTGACACTGTCCTCATCAAACAATCCCAGAACAGGTACAGCACGGAGTAATATACACAATAAAAGCTCGTCTTAAAGCTGAATGGAGTCCATGTCCATTTTGCATCACTCTGTTTGTACAAAACACAAAGATTAGTTGTGACAGAACTGATCAGAATGGAGTTATTGGTGTTAATATTCCACCTTCTGAGACTTGACTCAGTCCTGATTGACGCCTGAATCTAGCGTAAACCAAGCCTGGTGGATAGAAGACAAGTAGTCTGAGGGGGAACAATGACTGTGTTAAGAAGAGACATAAACTGTAGTCAGAAATCACCAACATCAGCCAGAGTTACACACATGAAGCTTGCAACACCATACTGTGATGTCACCTGCGTGCAGCGAGATGACCCAGGAAGAGGCCAAGGAAGCATTATTACTGTCTTGGGACAAGCTCGCAATGGCAGCACATCTCTTCGCTTTATTCGGAAATACAGGGAGAGAAAACAAACGTTACGGTAGTGCAATAGAAATTACAAAATCCAGTCAACTGCAGACAATCACAGCTCTTCGGTACAATTATCTGTCATTTCCTCCGTTCCTGCACAGAGACACCAAAGTGCAGGAAAGGAGACTGTGTGACGTCACTCCTCAGAAAGCAAAATACTCTATTTTTTCAACCAGAATCCCTTGACACTGTCACCATCAACACACCCCCAGGTCAGGGACAGTATGGGGTTAGATAAAGAGTAAAGCTCCCTCTGCACTATCACCATCAAACACTCAAAAGACAGGTACAATGCAACTGTGTCAAACTGAGAAAATATTGTCATTCAGCAACTCTGTCCGAAACCTAATGAAATCGCAGATTATGATATGAAAGACATTGAAAACCCAGCTTTTGAAAGGAAGGTTAATTTGTAGCAATCAAAAATCCAATGACTAAATTTGCAAATGACACCAAATTGGGGGTTGTACTCAACACTGCAACAAGGTTATTTGCAGAATGTTAACAATTTCCAAAAGAAATTCAATACAGGTAAATGTCAGGTGATATAGTATGGTGGACAGAAATGGGAGGTCATGTGATATTTGGGCTGTGCACCTGGTTGTGTTGAAGGAAGAAAGTGACCTCTAAATACAAATATGCCAAACACCAAAAGTCGTGCCACAGACCAACAAGATCATAAGGAAAGGCATAAAGCAAGCAGTAGGTTTTCATTCTACAGGGAGAGAGTGGAAGAATAGGCAAGTTCTACTAAAGCTGTACTGCACACTGGTCAGATCACTCAGAGTACTGTGACAGTTCTGGCTTTTTTTTAAATAAAAATGGCTATTAAGGGACTGGAGAGGGTGCAGAGAAGATTGACAAGGATTATCCAGAAATATTTGAAAAATATTGACAATCTGGTCTCCCCTGTTTTGAAAACAGAAGGCTCAGGTTAAGCAGTTAATACACATCTTTAAAATGATAAAAGGTTTTGGAACAGTACAGCTAGAGGCCATTAGTATAAGATTGCCACGAAGAAACCCATTAGGCAATTCTGAAAGAATGTCTTTTCCCAAAGAATGTCTTTTCCCAAAGAATGTGGAAGTCATTCCCAAAGGGAGTGATTGAAGTGAATTGCCCAGATGTGTTTTAACAAAACTGGACAAGTGTATTAGAGTGAAGGGAATACAGGATTATAATGGTCGAATTAGATAAGAATGAAGAGAAAAGTAGGAGAAGGCTCATGTGAAGCCTAAGTCTCAGCATGAACTGATTGGGCCGAAGATCTTGTTTCTGTTATGTATATCCAGTGCAATCCTCGAAAGGGTAGACACATCACTGAAATTCACTTCCAGGTCAGATGTAATCTATTGTCTGTTTACCTGCTTTCCTGTCCATGCATGGTTTCGTATTTGGGTAAAATCCTTGCACTGTCATTATGTACATCATAATGCCAGTTAGCTTTACACCAAAATGCACGGAAATATACTGTCAATCCAGAGAGGACCCTGTGGACTGAGGGTGAGCAATAGCACTGCTGCACTATTAAACTCAGAGCAGTATGTATGGGCTTTGCAGTAGAAAGTCATAAACAGATATTTACCTGCTTCCACTGAGGCCCAGCATTAAGTTGTGTGATCTCCCCTGGTCTACTGTGAGGTTGTTGGTCAGGATCCTCGTCCTCAAAGAGGTTTGGTCGCTGTCAGCACAGAAGGATGGTGTTTAGCCGGGGAGTGGGGTGGTGAGTGTGAACAGAGGGAGGAGAGCAGAAGGGAGAGCAACACGCGATGATAAAAAGCAGGGATCCATGACAAGCAGAATAAGACAGACAGAAGGGGAAAAGGGGAAAGTTAAAACATGTTTACATATGTCACAGGGATAGTAGGAACTGCCGATGCTAGAGAATTCGAGATAACAAGGTGTAGAGCTGGATGAACACAGCAGGCGAAGCAGCATCAGAGGAGCAGGAAAGCTGACGTTTCGGGTCTGGACCCTTCTTCTGAAATGG